CCTGCTGATGAACGATAACATTGACAGCCAATCAGAATCCATCCTGCTTTAAGGAGCTCAGGCATTTAAAGTGGCAGATGACAAAACTGCAGAGCATCATTATAAGTTGGTGTGGATGCTATTTATCATTATTTATTGCTCGTTATCGTCATAGTTAACATTCTTGGTGTAAACAGTAAGGATGCATTAAATAAAAGGTTACAGTTAAGACATCTATAAATTTACAAAAAAAATTAATTTCACATAAATGCTGTGCTTTGCCATCACGGGAATGAATTACATTTTGAATATATTAAAACAAAAAGCAGTTATACTGTAATAATATTTCACAATAATGTCATTATTACTGCATTTTCAATCAAATAAATGCACCCTTGGTGAACATAAGAGACTTCGAAAATATTTAAGAAAGCTTACTGACCTCGAACTTTCTAACAGTACTGTATATATACATAGACATATGTTATACATTATACCTTAAAATGTACCTGTCTTTTTTCCCAGGTGTGCCTTTGGTGTATGAGTCATTTAACTGGCGTCACGGTGTGTTTGTGGGTGCAGCCATGAGATCTGAATCCACAGCTGCTGCTGAACACAAAGGTACAAATTTTCATTTCTCCATATGGTAAACAGTACACAAAAGTGTACACTACTTTTAAGCACTTACTGACAAACTGAGCAAAAAGCTCATACTGATATTTACACATTATAATATATGGCTAATTTTCTTTAGGTAAAGTAATCATGCATGACCCCTTTGCCATGCGTCCTTTCTTCGGTTACAACTTCGGTGACTACTTGGCCCACTGGTTGAGTATGGGGACGCGCAAGGGCCAGACCCAACTCCCCAAGATCTTCCACGTCAACTGGTTCCGGAAAGATCAGAAGACCGGCTCTTTCTTGTGGCCAGGGTTTGGAGAGAACGCCCGCGTCCTCGAGTGGATCTTCAAACGATGCGGCCGTACCAGTAAAGACGAGGCTGCCACCAAAAGCATTGTGGGATGGATTCCACAAAACGGTGCCATAAACACAGAAGGCCTGGGTGGAAATATCGATATGGGTGCCCTCTTTGACCTGCCCAAACCCTTCTGGCAGAAGGAAACACAGGAGCTTCGGACCTACTTCGCCCAGCAGGTTGGAGCTGATCTGCCCGCACAAGTGGAAGGAGAGCTGAGGGCGCTGGAGGAGAGAGTGAGGGATTGAACAGATGCTACATTACATTGATGTTGTGCAGATGTGAAGAATAGGATGGGATGAGGTGGAGGTAACTGTTTTAATGTGACTGTTGCACTGCAGTGGATGCTGCACCTGAGAAACACAAAACCAAAAAGTTCACAAGATGCCATCAGTGTTATCAATACCTAGGTGCCTTATTTGATCTTACAGTAGAAGCTAAAAACTCTATTTAATGTTTATAAACTATGTCCCAAAATGTCTTTTAGATTATTTTACTAAAACAAGACCACATTATGAATTTAAACCACAGCATCTTCAAAATATATATAGTTTAAGAGCACACTACCTAATATCTGTTGATTTTGAGCAAAGATATTAGACATGTCTTCAAGGAGAGCACCAATACGATCATTTTTTACTCACCTAATGAAAGCTGAAGTTTTATTTCTAACGATTTTGCCTTTTATCAGTGGAATTTGATTGACATGAATCAGGTTGAGCTTGGGTTGAGCTTTCCGGACCAAAGAACACAGACAAGTCTCAGTCATTGAATGTGTGCATGTTTTTACATGAGCTGACTGAATAAATACAACTCTAAACCAAACTTTGTTATGTGTGTCACTCGGATTTCTTACATAACATCAGATGTAATAAACTGCCATTCATAAACAAAGATTATACTGATACTGCAGTTATCTCTTTACTTCATACAATACGCCATAAATCTCACGTTTACAACATCCATTCTGTTTTGAACAGGACATTATCACATAAGATTAAGTGTGAATGTAAACTTTACAGTGAATATCAGAGTTGTGAGCATAGAAAGGATGATGGAAAACATATCTCATACAATGGCATTTAATGTAATTTTTACTATTCCTGGGTGTATTCTTAAACTATTCAAATCTTCATTATTACAGTGACTGCATCTATAGGTCTTTACTACCTATGCTATGACAAATTCTACAGCACTCACCACAAAGAAACACTTTGTGCTTATTTTTCTGTAACTAGTGTGCTGCAAAACCCCCAGATGTACACTATGATGCAAAAGAAATCTAAATTTACCTAGAGCAAAACTCCTCCTACACAGCCAGCAATCATGGGTCCACCCTGTCCTGAAATACAAAATAATACAAGAGTGAATTTGAATTTAAATGTGTGTTTTGTGGTATTTCACATCATTAGATCAGTGGTTGTTAGCAACATACACAAATACTTTATAGGTCTGGTTTAATGAAGAGACTTCCTGAGTTATATATGCATGATTGAAAATGAACAAGAGGGTGGCTAACCGCACACTGATCCACTCGAGACTGGAAAAGTCAACAAAAACATATTTTTTTATTTTATTAATTGCATCGTGCAAAAAGTGCAAAGTGCATGTGAATTAAAAGCAGATGGACACGAGCAAGCAAGCAGACGTTTCAGCACATTGCTATCTATGTGCATGTTATCATTATATGCATGATACCATCACAAAGATACATTTATAGAATGATTAACACAAAATACAAATATTAAAAGCAAAAGCATGTAATAATATTTTACAATTCAATTTTTGTAATAATGCTATAAATGCTATTTTTGTTTAAATGCTATAAAGAAAAAAATAGTCCTTGACAGTGACAGAAAATAACTTTTCCAATATAGATTTCCAGGGGCCCCTTTTACTTAATAAGGTCAAATTCTCTAACCATAGTAAAAAAGATGTGTCATCATTCATATAAATTCTAAAATGAAGCAAGTGATTTTCTGATTTCGTAACAGCCTACAAGCATAGTACTCTTAATATTTCTGTCATAAAAAGATATGCGAAAATAGTATACTAGTACACAACTTTAATTTGAACAACCGTCTTTATGAATGGCTTATTAAATCATCACTTGATTTCTTACAAAAGTGATTAATCATTCAGGAAGGAAACACCAACGTGAACGCAATGGTTGGCGAAATATTGACAATATTGTGTCTATAATGTACTTAATATTAACTTCAACATTACATTTACATTTAGTCATTTAGCAGACGCTTTTATCCAAAGCGACTTACAAATGAGGACAGTGGAAGCAACATAACATTAACAGTCATTTATGTGTTTATTTATGTATTATATCTTATTATATAATAAAGTATAAAATAGCAATCTTAAAAGGAGAACAAATAGGATATATAGCGTGATGATGAACCTAAAATAAAACAGACTAGGAACTTTCTTCACGCTCTGTGTTGTTTTTTTAAACACATGATATTTCATCTGCTTATCATTCAGCATGAGAAAACGCTCGTTTCGGTCCTTTCAGTTTAAACTAGACCGGTTTTCGCGAGTCAGCCTAACATTACACATTATAAGTCTATGAACATGCATTATAATACCTGAATCACAAAAACATTTAACGTTAAATAATAAAAAAATCAGCACTTCGGCAACGGTGAGCTTCCAGACGTTCTTTGCCAGCAGGGGTCACTCCTACCCAATTAAATGATTAATACACAGGTAATTTTGCTGAGATATCTATTACGTGGAACAATTTTTGATATGCATGCGCATGTAACAAGAATAACAATATATCAATAAAAAAAACGTGATGTTGCTACGGATGGTTGCTAATGGCAGTTGCGCAGTGATACAAAAATATGTTCGGTCATCATAGCCGGGCTTTATAAATAAAACACGGCTATTGATCAGTAAGGTCAGGGACCGGAATTATATGTCTTATTATTTGTATCTTATCCGATATTGTGGGGGATGATTAAAAAAAAAAAAAAAAAAAAAAACAAAAGAAAATGTAAACATCCTCCTGAGAACCAGAAAAAAAAAAATAGTTTTGTGATTTTTTTTTAAATGTCATTACATTGGTTGGAGCATAAGAAACAAATGGAGAATTAAAAAAAAAAAAAAAAAAAAAATCAACAGTACATGTCACGTGACATTGTTGTGACGTCATCAGGAATTTAGAACGTTCGGGCCTTAAAGAAGAAAGCTGCCAGTCAGTCTAAAGGGACTTTACATTTACATTTAGTCATTTAGCAGTCTAAATTTAGCAGTCAATCACTTTGCAGTCAGTTCATATCATAAGTTTGATCTGACTAAGGTTTCATCCCTTCTTGGAATCAGAAACAGCAACTGTGCTTTGTACAAAGAGCTTTTTGTTAAGAATATTCTTAAAAGAACAATCAAAAATGGCAGCGTCCTACAATTGGACTTCAGGTGAGGGCAGCCAAGAACCAAATGACCATGGGTCATCATTGCTTGTCAGTGATTTGCACCCAGATGTGACCGAACAATTGTTGCATGCAATATTCAGCCCATTCGGACCGATCTGTTCTGTGCGAGTGTGCAGAAACACAATAACCAACCGGTCTCGTGGGTATGGTTTTGTGACCTTTGAACACCGCCAGCATGCAGAAAATGCCCTAGAGGCTCTGAATTTTTTGGAGCTCATGGGCAAACCAATGTGCATCACATGGGCCCAACACATAACTATTAATGTCCTAGCAAGGCCTAATGACAGGCCAGCTATATATGATGCAGTTTCAAACTTCTGGGAAATCATGAAGTGCAGAGAGGGCAGCGACAGGAGCGGCGAATCCAAAGAAAAGGAGAGCAGCTCTAATCCACAAGTGTCACTGATTGTGAATGATCTGCACCCAAATGTGACAGAACAGGATTTGCATGCATTATTCTTCCCGTTCGGACCCATCTGTACTGTGAAAGTGTGCAGAGATATAAGAACCAACCTGTCCCGCGGGTATGGTTTTGTTATTTTTAAACGCCGCCATGATGCAGAAAAGGCCCTGAAGGCTCTTACATTTTCAGAGCTCATGGGGAAACCAATGAACATCATGTGGGCCAAAGATATGACTGTTAAGGTGCTATCTAGAGATGATGAAAGAGGTTTCCGTGACATTTATGCTGATGAAACTGAACCCACTGAGTCACGGGGAAGAAGGCTTGCTAACGCTGTGAAAAGTTTTTTCACAACATCGTTGAGCAGCCCAGGAACCTGGCTGGGCATCGGCCTTTTTGCCCTAGCCATACACAGAGCTCACTGCGATACTGTAATACCCGTTTAATCTATTTTCCTGCTAAACATCTAAACGTAATTTATCTATGGTGCAAAATAAATAATAATAATAATAGTAATAATAATAATAGGGAGCCCTACACATAATTATTATAGGCCTAGCAAAGGACAAGGAATGCAGATCTAACACTGGAAAAAATCTAATGTTCCAGGTGCAAATCAGTCCAAAAATAAGTAAATATAATCCTTTTAAAAAAAATCTCTATAGTGCAATAAACTATATAAATAAATAGTGCAATGCATAAACAAATAAGTAAAACAAATAAATTGTGCAAAAACTATTTGTGTGCAATGTATTCACTTATTGTCCAAAATATTCACAAAAAATCATGCAAAAATACAACAATACACAAAGTCAGTTCTGTCTGATTATAAACAGATGGTAAAAACATTCAAAACAGATCTGTGCATTAGATTGAACACAGTCTTTTAAATCAGGTGCTGGTTATGATGACATTAAAATAATCAAAGAGTAATACAGTGCACAGCATAAATGAGTACACCCCCTCTAAAACTTAACAAATTCAGCAATTACTCTTTACTTAGAAGACATGTCAGGGTTCTTTGGAGATGTAATGTTCCAACAAGCCTGCTTGATCAATTACCAAAGAAGAATGCCAAAAGTATTCAGCAAAATAAGATTTTGTGTTGCAAAAATGAGTACACCCTCCTGAAAGTTACTAACTAAAAAAAAAGTGTATAGGTTTAAGGCTATTTTTAATCAACAGGTAAGTATATTGAACCAAAACTTTTAAAGACAAGTCATTTCCTGACAATTAAAAGTGTTATATAGCCCACTGAATCATACTCAGTCTTAATGCTGGCAGCAGTGGAACCACTCGGGAGAGAACTGCCAGGTGACTTATTTCTTAGCATAAAAGAGGACAATGGTACAAGAGGAATACCAAATTATTGTTTTAAGTGTGAAAATCTCTCCCCTCATTCCCTGCATTATTGGGCATTTTTACAGCATGACAATGAATATATCCATTCTCCCAAGGTGAAAATCCTTCAGTGGACATGTATTTCACTCAATTTTAACGCTCTTGAGCTGCTGTGAGAGATTCTGTAGAGACGAGCTGAGCAACACTCCCCATTAATGACCAGGGCTTTTAAGGAGGTCGTCCAGGAGTTAAGCAGCACAGATGTAAACATTTGTCATGAACTTGTACACTCAGTGCCAAGAAGGGTCAGAGCAGTATACTTTAAGTTCTGGAGGACATACTAAGTACTAGAATATTATACATTTTCTGAATTAAATCTAGGGTGCACTCATTTCTGCAATCCTTCATTTAAACAAAATTGGCTAATTTACTTATCTTACAGAAAATATTGGCATATATTTTGTTGTTTTTATTAAGTATATGTTTAATATGTTTCAATTTTGCCATCTTTCCATTCATTATATTAGTGATCATTAAGAAAATACATCTTTTATATTTATTCAGAGGGGGTGTACTCATTTATGCTGTGCACTGTAATAATGCTAAGAGAAAAATCACTCATTGTTCTCAATATTTAATACACTCTGTTTACTGCTTGCAATATGTTTTTTTTTCTTCTTTTTTTCCCCTTCTTTATTACAGAATATTTGCCTGCATGTTTTGAACAAAACATCAAGTTAATTGTTTTGAAACAAAAATCAAACATACCATCATTCCACTAGAAAAACAGTCTTTGACAGTAAACACCAGAATTGCCTTTTGGCACAAAACACTCAAAATGGATCTGTGCATTATAAGAGTGTAGCCTATTAGATCTGCTTTCTATGAAGACATTAATAAATAATCAAGGGTAATAATGCTAAAAGAAAAAAAACATACTGCTCTTTATCCCGAAAATGTATTGTGTGTAATGTTTATTTGTTCTTCTTTATTACTGACTTGCTTGTGTTTTGAAGCTCTATTTAGTTAAAAATGAAAGCACTGACTACAGTATTAAGTTATGTGTCAAGAACAATTTTCTGTTATTGTGTGTAAAAATAGCTATGATTTAAATGAAGTGATAAAGCTCACTTAAAGGATTAGTTCACTTCCAGAATAAAAATGCTGTCATTTACTCACCATCCACTTGTTCCAAATCTGTATGAGTTTCTTTCTTCTGTTAAACACAAACGAAGATATTTTGAAAAATGTTGGTATTCGAACAGTTGATGAGCACCATTGACTTCCATTTTAGGAAAAAAAATACAATGGAAGTCAATGGTGCTCATCAACTATTTGAATACCAACATTTTTCAAAATGTCTTCTTTTGTTTTCAACAGAAGAAAGAAGCTCATACAGATTTGGAACAAGTGGATGGTGAGTAAATGACAGCATTTTTTTTCTGGAAGTGAACTAATCCTTTAAACACAGTCAGTTATGCCTGTGAACATATATTAGTATATTAGATCTGTGAAACAGCGTCTCTTGGACATGGCGACAACACACTACTGACGCAACTCAACAAGAAATTGTCTCCTCTTATTTTATTCATTCATTTGTTTGTTTAACTTTGCAGATCTTTTTCATGTACATTAAACACTAAAGGAAGCTGAAAATGTAAAAAAAAACCACACAAAGAGACCCCTTTAATATGTTATTTACATAAATATTTACATCTTATATCAAGTAACCAGCATGTAGATTATCAATATATTTAAGAGCATTTAATATTATTCTAGTTATATTCCTTGGAGCTGCTGGAGTATAGAATATTATTTCATTATTTACAGTATAGACAATGTTACACCAGTCGAAAGAGATGTTATATTGGGATTTGTGAAAACTGGTGACTGTCCATGGCCCCTGCACAAGAGCAAGATTTAACATGAGCAAAAATCACTTTTTCTGAACTTGAGCATAAAGTTTGTCCATTTGCTGAGCACCGTTGATTTGTCTCTTTCTCTCTATCACTTGAAGCTCAGCATACTCTGTCTCTGGGCCATTGTTTGAGTGTTCCTTTGTCTTGTGGCCCGTCTGGAGTTTGGAGAAGTCAATTTCACCATAGTGGAGATCATCAGTTTCTTTCTTCTCGCCATTCTTGCTGATCACAGTGGCATTGTTAGCATAGATAGCCATCGTGTCTCTGTTTTTATCCTCAGCCTGAGTGGGAGAAATGTTAAAATTACTGTTTTTAAATCACTTTCCTTCTGCTTTAAAAGAAGCGTTGTTTGAGGAGATCATACAGTGAGTGACATGAATTAGTCTTTAGAAGATTAGCAGAAAACTATTTACTTTTATACAAACAATTTACAATTTACAACAATGTTCAGTATGACTGTTGCTGTCTTTTCTCAGTCGATTTGTTCATATACACAGATCCATTCAGGAACAATTTTTATTTTTGTAATGATTATGTCACTGAATCATTCACTCAATTGAATGGTTCAAAAACACTGATTCATTCAGGAATCAAACAGCTATGGTTTGAGACACAGACGTGCAACGGTCAGTTCTGCTGTGACTTTATTTGGAACAATTTTTGATGTTGTGGACAAAACAACTGGCAATATTTAACTTAAAATTGAAGTTACTCAGTGTTACTTTGTACCTGATCACTGACACGGGCCTGTCTTGAAGCCTTTGTTCTGTTGAAAAAAAAAAAAGAATACAATTAAAAAAGTAAATTAAAAAGAAAAAGCATTCATAAATGATATGCACATGCAATGAATAAATACAACATTACAGACATGAGCTACATTCCTGTTATTTACCTCATACAGTAGAAAAATACTGCAGACAACAGAACAAAAGTCAAAAGTCCTCCTGTACAGCCATATATCACCAGATGAGAGAGTCCACTCTGTTCTAAATTACAAAAGCAAAAGTTAAAATTCATAAATCCATGATACATCTGAACATAAAAATACAAAAACAGTGCTTTATTTACCTTCATCTGTGCGCTGGGCCTCTTCTGATGACTGTTTTCCATGTTTATTTTGTGCAATGCAAAAGTATGATCCTGTTTGAATCGGAGTTTCGGTTAAATTAATCTTCGTTCCCCAAGCTATAGGCCTCTCCTCTCCATGTTTATACCAGGTATAGTTCAAGTCATTTGATGGACTGGCGTGGCTTTCGCAGGTCAAAGTCACATTAGTGCCAACAGAAGTAATGATGACGCGAGTTTCTTTTGGAGGAACTTTAAGAAAAACACAAGCACATATACGGGGTTAACAATTGATACCTTTTCATTTCATCACATCAAGGATCATGAGAAACACAAAAGTACTTTAAATCTCTTACACAGGACTTGTAGCATCATAGTGCTCTCCACAGTTGAGGCATCAGATGTATTTCTTGGATACGTAGCAGTGCAGGTGATGCTCTTTCTGTGATCTTTGTATGAAGCTTTGAAGGTCATGTATGAAAACACTGACTGGGTTTTATCAGGTTTCTCCTGTAACTGTGTTGTAATGTGGGCAGATTCAGGGATGTTAGACCAGGATATTGTAGGAGGTTGTTTGGGGCAGGGGGCTTCAGCAGAGCAGCTCAGATTGACTGTAGTTCCCTCCTTCACTGTCAGATAATTGGGTTTAAGTTCAGGAGGTTGTGGTGAATCTACAGGGTAAATGATGGCAGACAGCATTACGGAAAACGTACAATGCAAATGTAAGAAGGTCAGGGTTTCACACTTGGGGTGAGGTTTAGCACATTTGCACTTATAGCTTTGTATCTTTTATATTACAAAGTGTCTGCTATTACATGCATAAAAATGCAACCCCTCAACACAGAAGATACAGTTTTATAATGTTACGGTATTTTTAAAAAATGCAGTTTGTTGACATATATAGTATATAGTGTGAAACTGACTTAGTATCAATATATTATGTAATTAATATTTTCATTTCTTTTTAAAGTTGGGCAAATTCATCTTTGTACTTTGGTGTGTGGACGGTCTGGGATGACATTTACCTCTGACATTGATCCTCACAGTCTTGCTTGAAACATCTTGACTGGGGTTAAATGTTGCTTTGAACACATCTGGCTCCATTTCCAGTCTGAAGTAATAGCTGTCTGAATGATTCATCATGATGTTATAGAAGAGAGTTGTGCAGTTCCTCTCAGTGAGATATCCAGTCATCTGTATGTCACTGAATCCTCTAATGATGTTTTTACTGCTGTTAAACGCTATTAAACCATCTTTGTCTGCAAACTGCGATTTGTTTTTTAACCAGATCCCATAAATTGATGTTGCATTCTTACGTTTGTCCTCAAAATTGGAGATGTTGAACGTGCAAGGAATCTGCACACAAGAGCCTGTTAGAGCTGTTACTGTCTGGGGCATCACAGCAGAGTAGATATTATCAGCTGGAACATAAAAACGCATTAGCCATGCTAGAGACATGAAGAAATGAGCATTTGGTTTTTAATTCCTATTAACCCTAGTGAAAAAAAATTGTATACTTAAGCACAATGTTTTAGTATAACTAAATGTATTTGTGGCACACTATAAATACGTAAAGTCTGTTAAATTGGAACAACTAATTTTGTACTAAATGCATTTTAGTTGTGCCAAAGCTGTGCTCAAGTACAACTAAAGTTGTTATAAATATACTTGTTTGTGCTAAAGTGGAACTATTTTCAGTATACTTTACACTTTAAGTTTTGAAATGCAGAATTCACTCAGCATAAACTTCAAATGTATTTTGCTGACATTACAATTACACTTTAAGAGTGTTAAACGTGCATTAACATTATACTAATAATAACAAACTGAGGTCATATATCCTTTACTTTTAGTAACTTTAACACGCACTGCAATGGCATTCAAAGTAAACTTGTAGTGTGCTAATAACATTATTATTGTGTGCTTTTAATGCAAATAATGAATATTTATAAATTATGGCACAGCTTTACAATTCGTCTTTTACTAACATTCCCAGCACACCAGCTAACACACTCACCCGGAGAACATCAGTGACACACTGGGGACAGACATTTGAACAATGAATGTAGGAAACACTACAGACTGGATTCGAATCCTTGTCGCTGCGACACAAGCGTACTCGCTTAATTAGATGCGCTACCAAAGCTTGAGTTACTTAAGTGTTAACCGCGTTACACGGTTAAGTGTTCTTTTTATACTGTACTACTAAGTACTACTACAAGCAAACAGACATTTTCCACCGATGAAAGCACAAATTATATGGATATAAAGACCATCCGTAACATTTCTCTGCCCGTTGTCGCTGCGTGCTTCAACTCTCAATGCACTACACAAGTGTTTCTAATGTAAAACGCAAAGAAAGGATTTGGCGGTCTTGAAGTACGCTGCGGATTTAAATGTGACGCATGAATAGAAATTATTTTAATACATTTTACATTGTTACTTTTCATGCAGTTAACGTCTCTGAAGTTTGTGTAATTTTAAGGACTGGTCAGGATCATTTTTAATAATTTGTTTAGTAATTCATAATATTTTCACAGGCCAAAGGGCTGCAGTCCACATTTCAAAGTGCAATGTTGCCGTTGTCTGTACGGGACATTAAAGTGAAAAAAAAAAGTGTGTTGGTACAGGTGCATTGGAGGAATATACTATAATAAACCCTCTGATCAAGTAGGCTAGGTGAATGTCTTTCACCATTTCAAATTAACTAGCTGTATGTTGTTTACATCTTTACTTTTGTAACTACTTTCTGTATGTAAAGATGCTTTGCAACCATGCAAAATAGTGAAAATAGTGAAGTGTGGTTAAATTATTAAAAAAAGGTAAAGTTCATCATTATTAAAAAAAAAAAGTACTGCATGATTATGAATTATTATTATTATTTGCAACTCAAAACATTTATTTTTATCCATACTATTTTTATACTCAACAAGTAGAGCTCAAATACAATGTATCATAACAGGTCAACAGAGGATCCAATAAAAATAAATTGCTGAAGTATTACTTCAATATTTAACAAATAAAATTGTTTTATTTGCAAATTGCTCAGTTACATTTGCGCTGTAGGCAAAAGTTGCGTTTGGAAATTCTGCCCTTACAGCACCTATAGAAACATATTAGATGTTTCTCTCATTTTCTTTGATTTGCCCAAAAAGAAAGTCTAGTTTAAAAAAATGACACAGCATCATCTTAAAATAATTTAATTATTCTCAGATTTGAAATACATGGTGAGACTTGTGTCTTTAGCTGGAATGAGTTTCTAGACTAAAGGTTTCTTCAGAAAAATGTGCTAAGTGCGCAACACAGATTCCCAATAGTGTGCACTCTAGTCTAGTGAGTTCAGATGTTTAGCAAAAGTACAGCAAAACTGATTGTTGGTGAATTTCACAGCTTGTGAAAGTTAGGTGAGGAGAAACTGACTTACCAAGCCCCCTTCACCGAACATATACTGTAGCCTATATTTAGGTGATGTTAAAATCACATTATTACAATACTTATTTAGACACTTTTAAGGGGCGAAGGAACCAACAAATATGCACAGAATGTAATTTAGTCTTTTCTGCCATAGTCTTAGGTGAGAGCTCATACAGCAGCCTTAATGATATGACAACATACAGTACAAACAATCCCCACAGACATACATTAGAATGGCCTTTATACATCTACAGGATCATAGGATGAGTTGCTTCATTCATCCCTTATTTTTGGACTGAGTGAGCATGGACATGTCATTGGGGTTATGAAGTGAGCATCCTCTTTCAAAGGTTTCATCCAGTTGGTTTATATGGGTGTGTGTGTGTGTGTAGGTCATATTTAAAGTTTTGTTTTTGAGCTCAGAGAACACCATTTTGAAAATCACTTTTTTTTTAAACATGTTGTAGATGGAATTAAGAACCTAGCCAGTGTACTTTCTTAAGGATTAATATATATATTTCATCCTTCCCCAAATGCATTTGTAAAAAAGTACAGTATTTTACAAATTAATTTGTAGTGCACTAAGTTTGTGCTAGATGAAAGCATGAAATAACTACATTTAGAGTGTATTTTCAGTTAGTATAGACATGTCAATCTATTTTTAGTATACTTATCATGAAATAAATATATTTTAAATACAATTAAGTATATTAATTTTTTCACTAGGGTATTCCTACTCCTAAATTATCAGACTATCGCTTTACAAAACAACTTTACAAGGTTTTTTTTTTTTTTGAT